CACTCTCAGTAAAATACTCACCCCATACACACCCCCTTTGTGAGCTTTTCCTCCACCCAAGGCACAAATTTCCTCTCCACTCTTACCGTTATAAAGAAAAATCTAAAAAAAGACAACAACAATATCAATATTGATCAGAATAAAGAGTTCAGCATAAAAACAAACCAAGCTATGTTCACAGAATTACCTGTATTGTTGCATGAATTTCTGTGTTAATTCTTTCCTCATTTCAAACAATTTTCAAAACAGCTTCATTTTAATTTTCTTTCATTTCAGATTATGATAATGACCAAGGGAAATAAATATAACAAAATAATAAAAAAATTAATAGTGGGAAGATTCCAAAGTGTTCATAATTCTTTCCTATGAGATACAGTACAATTTTAAAGTACAACCATACATACTCTAGTTGCACAAGCAAAATTGAGGCATATTACCATAAAATTGCTAAATGTTAAATTAAGGGTATATACATTACTAACATGATCGCCATGAATTGATAGCTCAGTTGGCTCAGAAGCACTTTGCTAGTTTCACATACTGTAATATACAGTCATAGAGTTACAATTCCACTTACAGTACACCAATTGTTTCTTTTAACTTGTTGTATAGCATTTGTACATAGTCACATGGTTGTATTAAACACTTTCCTATTTCAAGAGCACAAAACAGACATACCATGCCATCTGCACCACCAGACACAAAATGTTCACCATTTGGAGAGTACTTTACACAGTTCACAAAGTTGGTGTGGCTCTGTTTAAATGAAAAAAGGAAAGGAAACAATGGGCTATCCATTATCATGATAGTGCCTGTCCTAAAACAAACCTGTTTGAAGTAATGCACCATTCCTGTAAAAACCATAAATCCACTGCTATAAAAACTTTTGGAAAAAAAATGTGTTTAAAAAAGAAGAGTTTCCCAAACTTGTGAAATCTAGTTTCAATGGTTTTTGTTAAATCTTTGAGATCTGAGTAGGCAATCAAGGCCTTGGAGATTGGGTGCAGTTAGTCAACCTGTGCAAATAATTTGATTCATCTCATTCATTTACAGAAAAAGCCAAAACAGTTGGTGCTTAATGAATATATGTTTGGAACAATTGTACTTTACAAGAATGAAATGCAATTCTCTTCAGTTCATGTATACTCAATGGCAAAAAGATACTTGCTGTAGTAAGTCTGACAGAAAATTTCCATGGGTCAATCCAGCTCCTCTTGTTAGGGCTCAAGAGTGTATTTCAATAACAGAATGTTGAATACTAATGATAGTCCACTAAATGCTTATGTCTCTTCCAGTTTAATTTTGGGTTGAGAATAAAAGCAACTTATCCGAGAATTGGAAATTAAAAAATTTCAGAATCATACATACATGTGATAAATGAACATTTTTGATGTAGAGGATCTTTATGAATGTCAATCAAATCAATAAAATTTAATAGAATTTGATAAACAAATAAATTAATGTCAGTGTTACCAACCTTGTTAGCATGATGATATTTAAAGGGTGGTCCCTCGAAAAAGCCAACATCAGAATCTTCACTTGCAGTACAGATGCGGAATGGACGAGTGAGTTTGTAATCCACTGCGTTTATATCCTTGGAGTGTCCTGTGATTTGACCCACCGAAGACCCACTATCCCATAGGAACACATTAGCAAATCTAAAAGAAAAGTAATATTCCAGCAAATTAATGATACACTGTTACTTGTGCAGGCCACTGGCTCAAAACTGGCATATTGGTAAAGGAATTTATCAGTCATTGAATAGGGCCATTTGTCTTCCTGATATAGAGCTACTCTAAATATAAAATAAAAACTGTGACTAACGCAGAGACTAACAGACAAACAGAAAATTATTTGGACAGGGTTTTTATATGCAGATAAATGCAATTTAATGGAGCTACTGTAACAACAAAGAGCATCAGTGTTCTCTAGTAGTCAGCAGTTTTTTTGCATATGTGCATGTGTAGGAATTCCATGTGCTCCTCATTTGAGGTGTTCTTGCATGTGCATTGAGCATGAACTTGAAGTATTTGGAGGAGTGGCAGTTTTCCCCACCCTTCCCTCCCTCTTTCCACTGTTTATTCAGTGTGATGGGTGCCTGTTTCCCTTTCCTGCATGAGGGTTCATGGCTGGGTTGCCTGGGAGCTGGCTGCCAACAGTGGAAGCCCCTGAATGTTTGAAGCATCCAACCTCCACATAGTGATGCAGTTGTTAAAAAGAAATGAGGATGATAGCTTACTTTTCCCTGCCTGCTCCAACAACAACAATCCTCTTACTGTCCTCAGACCATGCGATATCTTTAATAGCACCACTCAAAGACTGGTATTCATATTTCAGTATATGCTCTGCCTGTGTGGTGTCCCAGATTCTGAGTTTTCCAGAGACATCTTAAAAAAAAAAAAAAAAAAAAAGAAATGATAGACTATAAAGAGACAAGGTCATGTTGTTACGTTATACACTTGTGCACTTTACCTGATGTGTGCCTCAGTTCTATTGCTCACCACTGAAATGAATGGCCAGAAGGAAAGAATGTGTGGCTGCAAATGACAACACTGATGGTGCTGTATTTACTACGATGACTGGAACAATACTTGTTTAACTATAACTGTACCCAAGCCAGGTGGCTACCAAGCCAGAGCTTACTCCAATCTCCTTAGCATTAAGTAACTAGGAGTCACTCCTCCCCCCTGAATGGGATGCTGGTCTATTGCAAGGTTACCATCCAGTATTTCACCACACTAGCTTCCCTGACAAATTCACCAGTACCCATTCATACTCCAGGGCCCAGTAGTATAAATGCCAGATAACACTATCCAACAGATAAATCACTATCCAGCAGATAAGTGATAGCAAAACATACTGTGCTATTCACTGGATAAAGATTTATCCAGTGAATAGTGTTATCCAACCTTCAAACAACTGGGGCCTGGATGGTGAGAAGCATTATGAGAGCATTGTGTTTTGCCTAAGAACACAACACATGGATACAACCAGGCCTTAACCTCAGACCTCTTGTCTGAAGTCTTACACACTTACCATTAGACCAACATGTCCCCCACCAATCACACATCCCATTGTACATTGTGAGTTAATTTGAATTAGCTTACCTAAAACTGTAGTTTGCAGTAAAAGGTCACCAAATATCAGAGCTACCAATACCTATCTAAGAAATCATTAATTTTTGTCTGTCTGGGACTGTAAGATGCAACATTACTTTCTGAATACAACTTGCTAATTGACCAAAAAAAATAGCACTCCAAAAGGACAGATTTATTTTAAAAATTCTGTACATCTCTACAGAATATCAGTACATACTTGAAAATTATTGGATTAGAAAGTAATATGGTGGTACAGTCTTTTGATCCTTTCACTCCCATGAGTGATCAAGACAGAATTTCTCCTTACAGTATCAATACAATACCAGACAGACTAGTGACGAGAATAAAGAAAAATATCAGTTAGGGGATTATTGGTTGATCTAAGACTAAATTCCCTGAACTAACATTATGAGAAGGGTATGGCAGATAGTAAGGAGAATGACTCATAAGATCTTGGGAGTGAAAGGGTTAAAATTACATTCTAGGTACAAAATGGAAAACCTTGAAAGAACTTGGCACAATGGGTCTCAGGGGATATTTTACCTCCTGATGCAATGTAAAATCCACTTGGTGCATATGCTGCTACAGTTGTATCCTTGGCATGTTGGGTATAAATATCAGCAATGTCAGGGTTCTGCAAATGTAATTTATTTAGTATATGAAATGAGCATAAAATTTTCAAAGAATCTGACCCAAAATTCATAAATATCAAAATGTTTCTGTGACAGGAAACAATCAAATATTAGTCAGTGGTCATTCCTACATATCATCTTGAATGAAAGAGTTCATTGAACTCCCCAGTTTTAAACAAGCAGTGGGCCTCAGTTTCTTTCTATAAGAGGGTTGGTTTCATTAAATAAATGTCATCCCACAGATAATATTTGGCCTTCTTGACACTGTTCCCAAAAATAAATGTTTGGATAAGAGGTTTGGCTAGATTGAAGATGGCTTTGAAAGAAGTTTGGTTAAACAACAGCTAAACTTTGTTTAAACAACCAGCCCTAAATGTTTAATAACCCTTTAACTCCCAAGATCTGATTGTTAATTCTCCTCTAGCTGCTACACATCCTTGTAAATTAGTTTTGAGAATTTGGTGTTGGATCAAGGTAACAACTTCTATCCGATAAGTTTGAATATTCTTATTGGTTGTTTTCTGGATAAAGTAAGGAAATTATAAGGAGAAGTTCCACGTTCATCACTCCTGGGGGTGAAAGGGTTAAATTGTGATTCTGACCATGAGTTAAGTTCCAAAGCATTAACTGTTCAACTCCCAAAATTGATTATTATATAACTTCTCCTTACAATATCCATACATTATCCAGCAAACAGATAATGAGAATACTCAGACTCATGAGGTAGAAGTTACATCTTGATCTAACTCCAAATTCTTATAATTACTTTACAAGGAAAATGTGCAGCAGCTTGAGGGAAGAATTAACAAAAATCTTGAAAGCAATAAAGGAGCACAAAAAAGAAACAATACATTGAAACATAATTGGTTAAATTCATAAATTGTTAGTTTGTTTTCTATCCTTTCTTTTCTTTTCTTTTTGTTTAATATCTTTTAAATCTTTTTTGCAAATGTAGACTAATATAAACTGATGTATGTAACATTATTCTTTATGAAGTAAAAATCAATATCCCACACTCTCTCACCTTCTGAAACACAGAGTTTTCAAAGTACCGTACATTTTATATAAATCTCATTACAGCAATGCTTCAGTCAGACTGACATAATACTGAGCCAAGGTTCTACCTCAGGTTTTAACCTACATTGTAAGAATGCATACACACATGTTGTAGTTTAACCTGAATTTAGGACAAAATGATTTAAAACCATTTTAATTTGCATTTCCCTCTGTTAATGACACATTGTCATACTTCCTGTAATTATCAATTGAAAGTAAAAAATAAAAAGTGCAAATAAATTCAGAAATCGTTTTAACTTAAATTCCATCTCAAACAAACAAAAAACTTTAATAGACTCCAAAAAAGTTTTTTTATGAACTTATTATTAGTACTTTGACTGAAGTAGCAGTGAAAGAGGAATCAATGGGAAAAAAGAAATTTAAAAAAAATAACTATTTAATTAATAGATGAAGTAAATCAAGTAATATTTATCCATGTTTGAATCTGTTATGGTGAGATTGCCTCCAGATTGGTTGCTTGGCAAATTACTGTCACCAGTCTCCCATGATTCTCTTTGAAAAGGAGTAATTCAAAAAAGGTAAACTTTTACAATTTTATTGTAATTGTACAACGCTTTTTACCTTTGGTTTTCTGTTAACAAAACTCAAAATAACTGGGGGAGTCCAGGACAATTAGAATTACGATACTATAATTAACAATTATTCACTGAAACTGAGGTGATTAATAGCTTAAGTATATACCCCCAGACACCAAAAAAATATCTTTCTTTCAGTATACCAAAAAATGGTAAGAAATTAAACTCTTGAGGCACGATTTTGTCTCATTTGATGCTCCTAAGGGAATAGTACTAGCCTTGACAGCCTTAAGCCCTCATATGACAACATTTTGCACTATTGTCTTGCTTTGTATATACTAAATAACACCGTTTGAGGATTTTTATAGTGAAAAAAAATTGGTTTTTAACTTTACCATAAAATCTGGTTAAATAATACAAAAAAAATCTACAATGAGCGAGTTGGCTTCCACAGGACTTCCATAATTAGAAATGGCAGTGTTGGAGATGGAAATAGTTATGCAAACAAAAATAGTTGATCAGTTATGTCCTTTTTTGGTCAATGTTGGCTGTAATTCACTCTAACTATTAAAATAATCGACAAACCGCCCGTTTATGTCCACCACTACACTATCGACATCTTCTTTATCAGATGCAACCTCCTTGCAAAGTAATTTCACATTCAAGGTGTTATTTCACATTTAAGCACATTCTCGAATGAAATACAGTACCTTACGTCACTTAAAATTTTCAGAGTGAGCGAGAAATTTAAAATACATGAATTTTACATGAGTCAACGTCTACAGGAAATTATCGAGTGTGCAGGAAAATTCCGAAAATAATATCGCATGCAGCTGAGAATAAAAAGATGCATTTCGAAATTTGCTTAGTATGTTTGAGTTTTCAGCCCCCTGCTTTGCGAATGACAAGCTCTGATGAAAATTGCACTTCTGAAGCTAAAATAATCTTGCAGAAATAAATTAAACCCACCTCGATGTCGCGAATTATCACGCTGGTACCATTGGTATAGAGGAAATTTTTTCCTTTTGGATCGCCTTTTAAAACTGTTGGAGCGCCTCTAACAGTTTTCGGTAAGGTAGAAAATATACGTCCTGTAAGACAAGAATAAGCTTGGTCTCAAAAGATACCGTATCGCTGGAAGAAAAACGATAGCTAGTACATGTTCAAGAAAGATAACAGGATCACGAAAGTGAGTTTGTCAAAGAAAGCTGAAACAAACTGTTCGCATAAACTAAGGCTACAGACCATAAATCAGAGCATATGCGATCCTAAAATATGCAAGATAAACTAACCTTTCTCGAACGACATAATGTCTCTCGTCTGTGCTCTGTGAATCGCAGAAAATCTCTGTGAAATATTGTTTTCCTGTGGGATGATGATCACACCTCTTCCGGCAAGCAAGTATCCCACAACTCTATGCAAGCCATGGTCTAATATGGCAAACGCTGACCAGTAACTGTCGTGTAAGCCGGTCTTCGTGTGATTTCCAACATGTGATAAGCCTAAATAGTAATCGATGTCTAGGAAAACACACAAGAAGATAATTTTATAATATTTAGGTTATGTAATTTGTAGATAATCAACTCTGTGATTTTTAGCATTCAAGAAAACAAAACGGCGATGTTGCAGCACTCTTGTAACCTGCGTGAGTATGCTGTTGAGTGGTTTTACTGAACTTTTGAATCTGCATGGTCGAATATAAATGTACTGAGCTTATTATAACATTTAGACGTTTTTCGTTCGCTTATTGGGGTATCTGGATGTATTATTTTCGACAGAACGGCTGTTGTATACTTCTTCTCCACATTATCGGTAAGTGGTAACTTTCGTGACGCAATTGTAGGAACTTATGTCATATGTAAATTATTGAATCTGCAGTTCAAGAAAATTATACAGTCGCCATTAATTTTTAAATCCGAGCTCAGGCATCAACACGTGGAGATTTAGGCATCGGCCATGTTATATGGTTGATATTCAATGCTGTTTCGGACAGTAACTCCTTTGACGTGATTGCGTGCGTTACATTGCCAAGCTCGAGTCCGATTTGTGTGTTGATCACGATTAATTATTAATCTTTCTGTTTGTTGTTTGTGCGGAGTGTATCAACAGCATTTGAACCCATGAACTCTAAGAATGTGACCTGGGGGGTTATTTAGTAGCTGAATTATATTCGTAACTGAATACGCTAGATGCTAATGCTAAAACTACTCAAACTAGAAGTTAATCCATGAGTCTATTTTTACTTAATCTGTTAACTAAAAGTTTGGCAACAATTTGTTTGGCTTCCTAACCCCTTCACTCCCATAATCTACATAGTTATTCTCCTAACTGTTTGTCATTCATCGACTATGATTTTAGATCGAAAAATTTGGTGGTTACTCAAACATGGGCTCATTACAAACCAACATAATGACCAGCTCCCAGTAAGCTTGATACTGTAGCTCAGTTGGTAGAGCACTGCACTGTTATTGCAAGGTCATGGGTTCAACTATTATATAGGCCTAAATTTTTTCAGGCTTTATTTTAACAACAGCTTAATTAGTGTTCACCACTGTAAAGATCACTTTTATATTCATTCATTAATCTGCAGTTCATCTAAAGTATATGATTTTCATATAATGCCTCCTATGGGAGACCAAGCTACATATTTTGTTGAGATGAATGAGTGAGTGAGTGTGATAATAGAATTCCAGTCTTGACCCGGTTTTGACCAATTTTTCCTGGTGCTACTTTTTGCTTCTTTTGTAGTATCTTAGTCGTTGGGCATTCTCACAAAATATACAGTTGAGTTCTTTTCTTTTGTGATTTCTGGCATTTATCCACTAGTACATTAAGTTTCCAGTTGTTGTGACACTTTGGAAGACAGCAGAAGAGGATAGACATCTCATAAACTTTTCAGGATTGAGAATGACTAATGATGTAATCATTATGGATGTTGGGAGAAGAAATTCATGCTTGGTCACTCCTTAGAATGAATGGGTCAACTGTCTCATCATCAGGGTATCAGTTCCCCCCCTGGGAGCAGGGAATGTTGTGGGAGGGGAAGGGTGGAATCATTACCACAAGATGATAGAATTAACAATCAGGTTTAGGGTGTCAAAGGTTAAGGTTACCAAGTATAAGTGTAGCAATTGTTTGAAGCAATGCTTGTTTCCTTTCTGTTTTAGACATGCATGTCAGTTGTCCAGTTATGTCGCTCGCCAAAGATATGATCAAGACTCAAAGCGCAAATTTCCTTGCCACCGACATTGTAATCATGCTGTTCCATTCAGTCATAGGAGTGTTGCTGGTTTCAAAAGTACTGTTCACAATCAATCTATACCTGGATTATCAGCTCTTAGTGTAGAATTGAACACTTTAAAGTGTATACAAAGGGATAGACAGGTACAGAGTAAATGTTTCACTGGTGGACGTCATCTACTTGCCTGGATTAAGCCATGTACAAACCAAGCAAATTTGTCTCCCGTGAAAACCACAATTAACAGAACAATGTTTTGTGGAAATGTTTTAAATTTTAAACATACAGGTCTCCTGTGTGGTCATCAAAGACAGACATTCCACACCAGCAGCATAAGTTATGATCCCTCACCTAGCAAAGCAGGTATAACAAAACTGTTGGAAGATGAAGAAAAAAAGTCCAAAGTAGAGGAGGCCGTGGAAGCTATGAAAGAAAAGAAAGAAAAGCTGAAGGAGAAAGCTTTTCAAATGGAATGTAGCCCTGAAGAAATTGAGCCAATAGTTGCTGTTTCTCCAGCGCCAAAGAAGTCTCTATGGCAGAGGGTTAAGCAAGAGGCTGTACATTATTATCATGGATTTAAGCTTTTGTATTTCGAAGTTAGAATTGCTGCTCGTAGGTTATGGCAGGTCATGAATGGAAAGGTGTTGTCCAGACGGGAAAGACGTCAGGTAACAAGAGTATGACTAAATTTGTATTAATTAAAAAGAATATTTTGATATTTATCCTTTCATATAATATTATATTTACATGGCTGTATCTCTAACCCAGATTCTGCAAACTTTTGAAACTATTGAAACTTTTAGAAAAACAATTTTAAGGGTGAAAATTAAGTCGAAGCTAACCAAGCTGTTTAAATAATTTTACAAGCAAGGCTTTGTTTAGGGCTGAGCTCAGACTGACTTGTTAGTATTTACATGTACTGTTTGCTGTGTACTAAGAGTTTCCGGATTTTTTTTGTTTGTGTGCTGTGTACTAAGTATTTTTGGATTTTTACTGACTGGAGTTTTCATCATTTAAACTTTTTAGTTTCTTCGCACAGTGGCAGATATATTTCGCTTGGTTCCATTTTTGGTATTTGTACTGATTCCTTTCATGGAGTTTATGTTACCAGTTGCTGTTTACCTTTTTCCAAACATGCTACCCAGTACATTTGAGGACAAATCCAAGAAGGTTTGAAAATCATACAATTGTTAATTACAGTAGAAACCCACCAACTCAATCTCTAAAGGGAAACCAAAGTAGGGTTGGAGTTAGAAGGAGTTCAAGTTCTTGGGAATGGTGTTGAATTTCAATTATCTTGTTAAGGATTAACAGGGAATCTGGTTTTCACTATTCTTGCTCAGTTCACAGGCATTTTCACACATTCAGTTCCTTTTATAAGAGGTAACCCGCTAACTCCTAGAGGTGATTAACATGAAACTTCTCCCTACAATAATTATTTATTCATTATCTAGCAAACAAGTAATTAGAGTCTTCAGACTTATCAGGTAGGAGCTGCTATCTTGATCCAGCACTAAATTCTCATAACTAATTTTCAAGGAAATGTGTAGCAGTTAGAGGGGTTAACCAAGTTCATGTTAGCAGGGCTTCACTGTACTAATTATCAGGAATAGTAAGTTGTTTTCCCCATCCTTTTCACCAAATTTACTCCAAGACAGCCTGCTTTTGTGATTTTAAACAACTACAGGAGTGGTATGTCTTCCCTTTGAGACAGATTGGATAAAAAACAAACTTTAAACTTATGGCCAGTGGTAGATGTCAGCTAATTTGAAGACTATAAAGTTACAGAAAGCATTCTTCAGCTCAACATGTCAATACTACCAGCGTCAAATTCTAGATTGATCTTTAATGTTTGCCAGTAGCCACTTTCACTGGCCAGTTAGCTTTAGCCCTGCATTTTAATGCTGCAATTGTGTGATGATCCTTCTTTTTTTACTTATCAGGAAGAAAACAAAAAGAAACAGCTTAAAGTGAAAATTCAGATGGCTAAGTTTTTACAAGACACAGTGGAAGAAATGGCTGTGACAGCCAAAGAAAAGAAAACACAAGAGGTTGTGGCCGACTTTGCAAACTTCTTTGAAAAGGTGCAGAAAAAGGGGCATGAAAAAATTTTGAATTGTATTTATTACTACATATAATAGATAAATATTTCCTACTGCAAAAACTCTCCCTGATCACTTGATGTGGTTTTATGTTCTTTAAAAGCTGTTAATTTCGATATTTTAAAGGAGTCAATTTTCGAAGAAATTTGAATGTGGTAAACATACCTAACATTACCATGAAGGAAGAGAAATTTGGCTATCCTGTGACAGACTTAGTAGTTAACCTTTAAATATTTAAGCATTTGTTATCCCTTCTCTAAAACTAACTAAAGGGTGAATGCTTTTAATATGAGTATTTACAGTGATTATCACATAAAATGTTTGCTAAGGTTTTTACAAATTCATCAGCCCCTTCACTCCTAAGACAACAGGCCAAAAAGGAATTTCCCTATTTTGTATCAGTACATTTTCAATCTGGAATGTGATGAAAAGAACAAAGAAAAACAATTGAGGGTTAAATTGTTTAATTTAGAAACCAACTTCTCAGAACAATGATAATGAAAAATGTCAGACATTGCTGAGAATTTTCATTCTGATCTTGACATGGAAAGGGTCATACGAACAACTGCATGTATGTACTAGCCCCCCTAGTTTCCCTTGCCTCATTTACATAAATTTGCTTTATATTTGGATGGCAGATCCGTAGCAGAGGACAACAACCTAGCAATGAAGACATCTTAAGGTTTTCCAAATTGTTTGAGGATCAAATTACATTAGACAACATGAGTCGTGCCCAACTCAAAGCAATCAACAGGCTGTTGATGTTGCCAACCATTGGAACAAACAATTACTTCAGGTTTCGACTGAGGATGAAATTAAGAGAGCTCAGAGCTGATGATTTGGTAGGTTGCTGTAGTTGTAATTTTTATGTACATGTAAGAATGATATTATAAGGCTCAAAAAAAAAAACATGCCTCAAAAGAAGCACAGAAAAGAAATACCTAAGAAAATTGATATACCGATAATAAACATTTTAATACCTTAACCAGTTATACTTCTCAAAATTTATCATTTTTTGTGTTACTGACAGTAGATTTTAATTTGTGATCATCATTATTTGTCAGAGTCATTATGAATATTATGACCCTGAAGTGCTTATGTCTGTCCAAGAGCTGGAGTTTATTAGAGCATGAGATTAGCCAATCAGAAATTACTTCCTAACATCAAGTTGTGTAACTTTGATGATTACTGAATGCATAATAGGTCTGAGCTTCTGGTAAGAGTCATTATAAATATTCTATAATGAACTTACTGTTAGTGCAAACTTCAATCATTTTTCCTAGCATAATTGTACATTTAATCAAAACTGTAAAAAACTTCTTGAAAGAAATTGGTTATTACCAGCCCTATTTGAGCCCTAATAGGACAGTGTATGCATCATGCTAGTAATTGGACAGTGTAATTGGACAGTTAACACTCATGCCTGTGTAAGTAGACACATCATGAGTGCCCACTGTTGTCTTGCATTTTGCCGAGTTAACTGTTGTTTTTTTATGAAAAAGTATGACTGATGTCTAGTTTCTTTCTCAAATTTAGTCATATTTTTGATTAGTTGGTACCAGGACTGTGTGTTGGCCGATTCTGTCTGTAATCATACCTGTGATTAACAAATCAGACTCCCACTTAGCATTATTTTGTCAGATTTTGCTAATCTCTTGTATGATTACAGACAGAATTGGACTCCACTTGGTCTCATTATGGTAACCATTATTTAAAGTGTCTCACCCCAAGTGGTATTATTATCGCAATCCTCAGTTAATCCAAAGAGAAGGTGTGGAAAGCCTTACTGAACAGGAACTGCAGTCAGCTTCCCAAGCTCGCGGAATGAGAGCTATTGGTGTTCCTGCAGCAAGATTAAGGTCTCAACTTAAACAGGTGAATTTTCAGAGGTTGTGAGGTACTTGCAATGTATCATTGTCTTATAATAAGCTGGATGATACACTCAATTTAATTGGTTCTTGCTTGTGATCTATTAAAAGACAAATCTGGACAGCTATGGATGATCTCAGCATTAATAACACGATTGTGCTTCTTTAATTTATTTTACATAAAACGAATAGATTCTATGTTGCCATGTATCTGGTCAGTATTAGATCACAGAGGACATAAAAAAGTGGTTAGAATACCAGTGACACACTCGGTTGGACCAGTTGTGAGCTACTTTTTGTTCTTATCACTTTTAGACATCATCCATGATCTACCTACATGTACATGACTGTCTTCATGTATTACTGAAAGTTGCAGTCATTGTCAAAGTTTCATAAATTATTCATTACTGAAGTAAAGATGTTGTTCTTTGTACATAGTGGGTTGAACTGCACCTGGTTGAGCAAATTCCAGCATCTCTTTTGCTGATGTCCAGAGCATTGTATCTCCCAGAAAATGTCAGTAAGGTCGATCAGCTCAAAGAAACGTTGTCAAAACTGCCAGAAAACTTGGTAAGCATGTGTTCACTGTCTGATGTTAGGATAAAGACAACTTTATTTCTTGGTAGGCCAATTTGAGCATATTCCCATATCTATATATGGGAGAAGCCTGTTAAAAAACTATATAAAAATGTTATGTGCTGCAGTTCTAAGAATAACAGCGAATTAATGTTTTCACGGTTACAATTTTTGACAGTTGTCATGGAGACATGGGAATAAAATGGTAGGATTTTACGGGGGGGGGGTCATTCTAAGTTGACATTGCCGCTGGCATTTGTGCTTTCTTCTACAATCCATTTCTTTTATTTTACATCAATTTTCTCTGCGTGTATTTCAATTTGATTGTAAGTGGTATGTAATATAATATATAGATCTAGCCAAGCCTAAAAGCGGAGCTCACATATTTTTTTTTTCGCACGTCTCAAGGGCACAACGTCTTGCCCCGGCTAGGACTAGAACCCGGGTCGTCCGACTCGGAGTCCAGTGCACTGATCACTGGACTACTGGACAAAGTCGTGGCATTGGCGTGCCCGCGGTACAATTGACCACGCATGTTAAAAGTAGCACCTTGTACGGTCGTACGGTCGTACATCCAAATTTTTTCGGCTTGATGGGTTACTACTATTTTATATAATTATGGGGCTACGCGAGCTCCGCTATTATTTACAGTTTGTATTTACATACTTTAGTTAAACCTCTCTCCCTTGAGGTTCATGTTCAGTGTTTGGCTCTGCATTCAGGAGGGTTCACTATTTTATGCCCTTTTCTCTTCTTTGTAATTATTCAAAAAGTTTGTAATTGTTGAAATGGAGTTAAAAAATACAAAGTATTTTTTTATTATTTACAAGACGGTGGATTAAGATTCGAAGGTTTATAATCACATTCCATGTAATTGTGTATGTGTGGTTTCCTTAACATGATACTCTCATGGTTAATATTTTTAGAATTTTGTTTTGTTTTTGTTTGTTTGATCGTTTATTTGTTTGTTTGTTTGCTTTTTATTTTGGCCTGTATAAAAGCTTCCTTTTGAATTACTTTATGTGTAGGTAGAAGAGGCTGAAATTAAAATATGCGAAGTTTCTGGTGAGAAAGTTGACAACAAAGTTCGTTTGGACGTTCTGAAGAATGAGGAGAGAATGATTGCTGAGGAAAATCTAGAACTTATTATAGAGGAAGAGGAGAAAAAGAAGAAGGTATTTACTGTAATGTAAAGGATGCATATATTTCACACTTCCACTTCCAAGATCCTCCCTACTGTCTGCCGTTCAATTCTTATGATGTTAGTTCAGAGAATTTGGTATTGAATCAAATAATAATCCCTTTATCGATATTTTGTTATTCTCGTCACTTGTGTGCCTGATATTGTATTGTTATCATCCAACTGCACAAAGATAAGTACAAATAACGCGCGAATAGAGTGAAAATTCCCGCGATATTGTACGGTTATTTGGACAGTTGGTTATTTTGTACTGTAAGAAAACCTGTTTAACCAGTCGGCTGCGCGCGCTACGCTTCTCTATCCGCTTTGCTTTTCCCGCCTTCTGAGAAATGAGCAGAAAGAAGTAGCAGAAAAAAAAAGAGATTGGATAATAAATAACTTTTTAGACGTTTTGGTGCGTAGAATCGCTTAGTATTTTTACTCGTTGTTTATATTTTGACTCGCCTTGCGGGCTCGTCTAAATACGGCACAACTCTTAAAAATACTCAGCGATACTACACGCCAAAACGTCTAATAAGATATCTATGCTGTAAAGAGAAACGCTGTTGTTCGTATTTTGACTTACTTTTCGGGCTCGTCAAAATACGGCACAACTCGTAAAAATACTCAGCGATACTACACACCAAAACGTTTCATAAGGTATTTATATTGTAAGGAGAAACGCTGTCTCGTTTACTTTTGGGACTTAAAGGCTAGGGGACCTCTTCCATCAAGAAGAATGTTGACAAAATCTTGAGAAAAAGCAATAATTATCAAGACAATGGTTTATGTTATGCATTGAAGCCAAAGGCTCAGACAGATAATGCAAACCAAGACCTAAAATTTAGAATTCCCGCTATCAAGGAAAACTGATATCAATTGATGTTTCATTATGCATGCTTGAGTGGCTCTTTGTCTTAAGGAACACTGTATGACGTTACCTTTACATGGGTAATGGTGTTTTTTGTTAATTTTAAGTTATAAAGTAGACGAAGCCCTATACTGAAGCACCCTCGCTGACTCGAACTAAAATCTGGATGTCCGTCATACATTTCCTGCAAATTTACCCTCCTTGATAATTCGAACCTCTCGCTAACTCGAAGCAATTTTCGTCTACCTTTGGGTCATTCTCCATATTTTTCTGCCCTCGATAACTCGAACCGCGTCGAACCAATTCGAACCACGTCTGTCAATGCGCGACAAATCACTGAAAACAACTAGTGCACCGCAGTCCAAAACAATTACGCTACGTTATGGTTTCTGCAGTTATTTAGCGTTCCATTTCACTCAACTTCTGTCTGCTTAAATCTGATTAATGTATACTGTATGAATAGGAAAAAAAGTGAACATCGTTTTCCCTTATTTCCAGTCCTTTGTTTTCAACTCTCGATCGTACCTTTTTCAACTTGCTCTTGAAGGTTTGAGTTATCAGGATTCGGCCGAGATCAAATGTTCTGTTTCTGGACCAAACTAACAATTGACGGTTCATATTTACTGATCTTGACCGATACTGGTGATAAAATCCACCAATTTGGGTGGAGGTTACACCCTCAGAAAGTGCTTTATCACAGGTTTATTCACTTCTCAAAGTGTTTCTTCATTTTCATTCTTTTTTGTGCAATAGATCGAAAGTGTTGTTTCTGAGATGTTAGAGGTAAGTACAATTTTGTGTTTGCGAGATAATTGAGTAACCCATGTGGTTTTTACGAATAATACCATTAGCTTGTCTGCCTCTAGCTGGTGTTCTCAATGATAATAACGTAATTGAGATAATGGTGATAACATTGTTCATTTTGTGATGGTGATAGCGATAAAAATGTGAACAATAACAACAACAGTGATAATAAAATTAACCCTTTACTCCCCAACATCAATGTGCATATTCTCCATACTACTCCCAAGACATTTCCTAGGGTTCTTACAAGGAGAATTTGTTCAACAATCAAGAGATTATTGTGTTGGTGATCATCTCCTTTATTCTCATGACCTTAATGTGTGATTCCGTCAGGGGTGATGTTGTAAGGAGATGTTAGATGTTAGTCACTCTTAGGGGTTATAGGGTTAATGATTATAGTGATAGAGCAATTTTCAATTGAGCGTCGAAAGTGATCCGGGATTGCCTAGGTTCTGCTTTTACTTTACTCTGTGATTGGTCCACAAAACTCGTGCCACTTTCTCAACCAATCAAAACTAAACCGCATCATGAGCTGGTCGCGCGCGTTTTCCCGCCCTTTGAGCAGTTTGATTGGATTTAGTTTGAGTTCTCATTGGCTCTCAAAGGTAGTTTCTTTTCTTCTGATTTTCTGTTATGATTACTTTGCTTCTGGCTTTACGACACTTAATCGAAAAGCGCTCTATTAATAGTAATAGTTATAATGATTACCATGATGACGAAAATGGTATGTTCCTCTTAAGAGCTCATATCACCGAAACGCGGTTTTAGTTTTTCACAATATTGTTTTAGAGAGAGAAGCCAGATTTTTAAACAAATGACAGGGTAGTAAATCCAAACCAAATCAAAAACGGATAAGTTTTTTTACTTTTGAAAATTTTGTTGGAAAATATGGAACAACAGCAGCGGAGGTGCACTGATGAATACTGATAATAATAGATTGGCGGGCTGGTCAACTCCAAGTCTAAAAAAACTGCGCATTAAAACACTTAGAATCGCCGCTACCAGATAGGCAAAGGAAACTCAAACATTTAATTTATGAATTTGGTGATTCGACAGGACAAGGCGCCAGAAATCAAACCGATGCCTGAAGAGGATATTTCTCAAGACGATTGGCTGTCTATCAAAGCAAGTCTTGCTCAGGCCAATGAACGAGAGGAATTAGAGAAGATCAAGGAAGACAGAGAAGAATATCAAGAGGTACATTATACACACTCAACTATCTTTTAGTCGACTTAGTTGTTTAAGAGGGTAATATGGTATTCTCAACTGAGTTGATAACGTAAATTGGCCACCGTAAAGAGTTGCAAAGCTGATGTTTCGAGCGTTAGCCGTTCGTCATTCGCTCTGACGAATGGCTAAAGCTCGAAACGACAGCTTTGAAACTCTTTACGATGACCAATTGACGTTATAAACTCAGTTAATAATACTAAATTTCCTTGTTATACTCTCCCACCGACACAGCATCATAGTTTCTCTAGAAACTTACCACCTTTATTTATGACTTGTTAAAGATATTAGCTCATCTAGAGACTTGAACTTGGGACTGATTTAAGTCCGTAATTTTGTACCGGAACAATTTTCTATCCGTTACAAACATAGGCCGAATCATTGTTTTGCGCACTTTCTACCAAAACCAATTGTAACGTTGCTAAGAAACTAGAGTAGCCTCGCCGCAGGAATTCAGTGAACACGTGAGGTGATTGACTAGCCAGGTCGGCCCATCTTTTAAGTCGCCGTGCATTTGTTTAGTAATCGATCACAGAGGACGGAGGACGACAAATTGTAGTAAGAACAAAAATGTAACACACGAGGCACAGCCGAGTGTATCACTGATATGCTCTTACCATATTTTGACGCTATCTTTGATCTATCACTGTACAGAAGTACGGCAACATGGAATCTATTTGTTTTAGATTATAAGGGAACAAAATGTTGACGTCACGTATGTGTCTGTTCTCTAGTACATTATAAGGGAAAACCATTCAAACTTCGTGTGCTATTCAGCTCAAAATAATAAAAGTGAACAGGTTGTGGGACACACCTCTAGTGTAATTCTTTTTTGCAGCATGAATTGAAATGTGTATTTTTTCCCGGTTTTGCCTGTTCCTTAGGAACTCCGTGAGCTGGAGACTGAAGATGAAAAGCGAGTACTTGAAGAATCACTTGGTTCATCACGGCTCGGTAGGAAGGTGGATGTGATGATTAAAAAGATTGAAGACCGTTTGAAGCAAGTTGAAGATGAAATAGAACAACCACTTGATGCTGATGGGTGAGTTTGCTGGAGACTTAAATTATTGTCAAAAGATATCTACCGACCTGTCCATCAGTCGATATAAATCAATATCAACTAACTCATCAATTGTCTGGTTTTATCAACTAAATTGTTCATGTAA